TTTTTTTTTTTTGGTACTGGGGATTGAACTTGGGTCCTTGCACTGCGGTGAAACCACTGAGCCAAATCCCTGGCCCTTGGAGGTTAATAGTCTTTCACCAGGTTTTTGTTCTTGTGTGTGCAGTGTGGTACTGGGGATTGAATGAGCCATAGCCTTTGTACTGAGCTACATTTCTCGACCTTTATATTTATTTATTTGCTGTGTTACTAAATCGCCCAGGGTAGGCTTGATCGAACTCGGGTCCTTGTGCTTTCAAGGCAGGGAGCGGAACCACTGAGCTAAATCCCCGGCCCATGCCTGGCTTTTAATTAAGAACCTTATGGGCTAGAATTCCAGCTTTTATTCAAGGGCTTTACTTTTTTATTTTCTTAAATTCTTTTATTTGTACATTTTAGGTATACATGGGAACTTGTACCTTTACATGATGTATCTTAGTTCTTATTTTTTCCTCCTTCCCCTCCCCTCCCTTCAAGGGCTTTAATATTGAAGCATTAAAATACTTTAGTGCTAGACATATGTACAAAGTTATAACGGAAGCTTAAAATATCTCCTGTTAAAAGCCTAATGCCAGTCTTTCCAGTCTCATTCTGTTCTGGTTTTTTTGCGGTGCTGGAGATTGAACCCAGTGCTTTGTGGTGGAACCACTGAGCTAAATCCCCAGCCCTTAATATTTTTTTTTAAAAAGTAGAAAAGGAAGAAATGGCTGGGACACATCTGTAATCTCAGCACTCAGGAGGCTGAGGCTGGAGGATTGATGAGAGTTCCAGGGCAGCCTGGGCTACATAGTGAGTTCGAGGCCAGCCTGAACTACACACCAAGACCCTGTCTCAAAAAGCAACAGCTGGGTATAGTGGCATATGTCTGAGATCCCAGCACTTGGGAGGCTGAGGCAGAGAACTGCCATGAGTTTGAGGCCAGCCTGGGCTACATTGCAAGACCCTGTTTCAAGAAACCAAAACAAACACAAAAGGAAGAAATACAAAGCATTTCAGTGGGTTAATTGCAATATAGTTTATTTTATTTATTTATTTATTTTTTGGTACCGGGGATCAAACTCGGGACCTTGCGCTTGCGAGGCAGGCGCTGGAACCACTGAGCTAAATCCCCGGCCCATTAATATAGTTTATTTTATATAAACCAAGATTAAAAAAATAAAGACTGTGACTTTAGAACATTAAAGGAAAAGCAAAAGGAAGTTTTTATGAAATCACAATCACTATGCTGACAGCTTACTTCTTAGTGTTTCTCAGAAAACAGAATGTATACTAGTGACTGTTGTTTAGATTGGCTGTAGAACCAGGCAAGACAAACCTATCACTTTAGCATCTATTACATAAAACATGAAAAACTTAAAATTTAAGTACCTAGTTACATAAAAAGTCCAAGTGTTTTGACAAGTAAAACAGGTTTTTTGGGGGAGTACTGGGGATAGAACCTGGAGTCTCAAGCACACTAGTGAAGCACTCTACCACCAAGCTATACGCCCCACTCTTCATTATTTTGAGATAGGATCCTGCTAAATTCCCTAGGCTAGGGCTGGGGATTTAGCTCAGTGGTTCCGGCGCCTGATTCTCAAGTGTGCAAGGTCCCGAGTTCGATCCCCGGTACCAAAAAAAATAAATAAATAAATAAAAATAAATTCCCTAGGCTGGACCTGAATTCGTGATCCTCTTGCTTCAGCTTCCCAGAGTGCTGGGATTATTGGCATGTACCACCATGCCTGGCTACACAGAGGTTTTATATTGGTGAAGTTCATTATTTTTTAAGGTGATTCTTTATGGTATACTAATTTAGTTCTCTGAGGGGGAAAAGGAAAACATACAGTAGTTGTAAAAACACTCTTGGCTGGACCCTAATACAGTTCATCTAATAAGTCATATCTTTTGAGTTGAAATTTTGGTAAGTTGAGATGGTCAGTTTAAAACAATTTTAAGCTGGCATGGTGGCACATGACTGTAATCCCAGTACTCTAGGAAGGTAAGCAAGAGGACTGAAAGTTCAAGCCTAGCCTGGGCAACTTAGTGAATCTGTCTCAGAAAAAAGAGAAAAAAGAAAAAGCTGGGGATGTAGCTCAGGGTGAAGGCCTTGGGCTCAATTCTCAGTACTTAAAATGAAAAAGAAAGGCAGTAGCATATAGTCTGACTAATGAAAGTATCAGTAAACAAAATTAAGAAGTGATTCCAAATATAATTCAGTATCTATGACTTAAGGACAAAGCTGTCATTTACCCAGAAATATGTAGGTTGTGTCCAGTGAGCTGACAGTCTTGGGCATATTACTGCTCACTTACCTCTATATATGGTAACTAGTAGAACTGAGCATATCAGAAGGCTTAGAATTATCTCTGTATATTAAATTTTTTTCCCCCTGGAACCAGGGCTTGAACTCAGGACCTAGTGCTTGCCAGGCAGGTGCGGTGCCACTGAGCTACATACCTGGCTGCTGTATATTAAAATTTACAAAATTATGGGCAATTGGTCTATTCCTTGCTTTACTGCCCCTTCTTTTTTTTTTTGGCACCGGGATCGAACTCAGGTCCTTGTGCTTGTACAGCAGGCGGCGAAACTACTGAGTTAAATCCCCAGCCCCTTACTGCTCCCTTTCAGAAAGCTTAACAGCCTCTTTGATGGTCTCAGGAATTCTTTTCAAACATAAATTATTTAAGACAATTTTTTTTTTGTACTGGAGATCGAACTTGGGTCCTTGTGCTTGCGCAGTAGGCGGCGAAACCACTGAGCTAAATCCCTCAAGACAAGGAAATTCTTGATAGCTAGTAGTGTTTTGATTTGGGATAACAAAAGTGACCCAAGTTTGATTGTGGTTTTAGTTGTACAATTCTGTCAATGTGCTAAAAATCTACTGAATCTTACATTTTAAGTTTGTAAATTGAGTAGTATGCAAATTTTTAATTTAATAAGGTTGTTTTATTAAAAAAGAAAAAGCTCGTATAAGAGGAAATTATAAAGATCAGAGCAGAAATCAATGCAATGGAGACTAAGAGAACAATACAAAAAATTAACGAATCAAAAAACAAATGAAATCAATAAACTCTTAGCCAACCTTATCAAAAAAGGAAAGAAAAAGCTCAAAGCCATGCAATCAAGAATGAAAAAGGTGAAGTCACAACAGATCCAGGAGAAATCCAAAGCATCATCAATACCTACTTTGAGAACCTGTACTCTAATAAAATGGAAAACACAGAATGGACAGATTCCTAGATACATATGAATTACCAAAGTTAAATGAAGATACAGAAATTCTAAACACCCCAATTACAATGAGTGAAATTGAAAATGTAATAAAAAATTTACCAACAAAGAAAAGCCCAGGTCCTGACAGCTTCATTGCTGAATTCTACAGGACATTTAAAGAAGAACTATCACCATTACTCTTTGGTTTTTTTTTTTTTTGGTACCGGAGATTGAACTTGGGACCTTGCGCTTGCAAGGCAGGCAGCAGAACCGCTGAGCTAAATCCCTGGCTATCACCATTACTCTTTAAACTCATCAAGGAAATTGAAAGGGAAGCAAGGCTCCCTAATTCATTCCTGGAAGCAAGTGTTACTTTGATTCCAAAACCAGAGAAAGACCCAACCCAAAAAGAGAACTACAGACCAATCTCCCTAATGAACACAGATGCAAAAATCCTCAACAAGATACTGGCAAACAGAATACAGAGGGTCATCAAGAAGATCTCACACCCTGACCAAGTAGGATTTATCCCAGGGATGAAAGGATGGTTCAACATTCGTAAATTAATAAACGTAATACACTACATTTACAGAATCAAGAACAAAAACCATATGATCATCTCAATAGATTCAGAAAAGGCATTTGACAAAATCCAACACCCATTCATGATAAAAACCCTACAGAAAATTGGAACAGCAGGTCTTTATGTCAACCTGATTAAGGCTATCTATGAAAAACCAACAGCCAACATCATACTAAGCCGTCAAAAACTGAAAACTTTCACGCTAAAACCAGGAACAAGACAAGGATGCCTACTATCACCGCTCTTGTTCAATATAGTTCTGGAAACATTAGCCAAGATACACACGGATAAAATGGCCTAATAATATATTTCTCGGATTGTGTTTCCATTGCGTACCATATGACTGTAGTCGAAATTCAAATTAGGGAGAAGTTTGGCTTATGTGGAGTCAGCTAAGTAACTGGAGTTTTCTTCCAGATCATTATTTGTTCAGTGTTGGTTTTGGGGATCTTTCTGAAACAAATCACATCCTCTGGTGTCTTGGTGCTTGAGATGCTTTTTTAAGTTATATGGAAAAATGTTTAAGTGCTTTTCAGTTTTGTTTTGGTTGAGTTCTACTGTATTTGAATATTATTGTAGTTTTTCCCCCTTACATTGTTCTTCTTCTTTTTTTTTTGGTACCGGGGATAGAACTCGGGACCTTGCGCTTGCGAGGCAGGCGCCGGAATCACTGAGCTAAATCCCCGGCCCTGCATTGTTCTTCTTTGAATGGTTTTAATTTTTTGTATGTGTGTGTGTGTTTGATAGTAAAGTTATTAAAAAAAAAAAAAAAGGAAAAGAGAATTCTGCTTTAAGCATTAAGATGCATACATCCTTCTGCCATGTTTATTATATGTCTTGACATATTTGATCCTTGGTTGAATGTAGATGATATCCACACTGGTTTGAGAGGAGTTGTTATCTTTAGAAATCTTTTTGTAAATCTAAAATGGAATAGATTTTTATCAACAGTTAGTAGAGGGAAACAAAACTCATTTATTGTCATATCCTGTTCTGCTTCATGCTTCCATTAAATTCGCATCATGGATAAAGATTTGCTTTCACATTTGCTGAAGCCTACAGTACAGGCTGAGCTGTACAGAATGAGAATACAAAGGACTCACACAGCCAGTTGGAATGGAGGCTTCAACAAGGCTTTTCAAGTTCAGAGTCATCATTGTTCATTTACTAAGCACATATTTGTTTGTCTACTATGGGTAACTATTATCTTAGGCACCACTTAAGCTGATATACATTTAATTAAGAACTGAAGTAAAGGTTGGGAATGTGGCTCAGTGATAAAGGACTTGCCTAGACCCTGGCTTTGACCCCAACACAGCAAAACAAACTATGCTGAAGTCGAGATGGAGTTTCTGTTTTTATAATATTGTCACAGTTTTCTAGGGTATCTATCAATCTCTTAAATGATGTCTACTGTGATTTTTTTCTTTTGACTTACCCTTTGTGAGGTATGCCTATGCAAAGAACTCTTCACTGGACACTGCTATCCTCTTTGTACCTCTTTCTCATCACTACATGCACCAGGATTTTAGCAGTTCTCTGCGTTTGACATTTGATAATCTCCTTGAAACTTTCCCCTGGCTGCTGGCGTGCTTCATTTCCATCTTTCATCTCTCTACTTCCAAATCATTGCCAAATTTCAAGAACAGTTACTGTATTTGTACCTGTTGGAGATTTCCAGTGCTACTGTACTAATGGTAAAGCCCATCTGGTCTCTTGGGATTGCAACCCTTTTCTCCCTAGATTTACTTTTTGTAGATATAACTACAAATCATGGTACTCTTTCCTCAAGACTTTAATAATCTCCTTGTTCCTATTTATTAAGCCCATACTGCTAAGTTTGGAATTCAAGTCCATCTTAGCTTCAGCTTGCTTCTTCCCATTTATATCCCATCACTTCCTGATAGTTTTTCCAGATTAGCTGTACTATTTGATGACCTTGGAATTACCTGATGCCTTCTTGCCTCTGTCAGAGGCAGAGTTCCAGGAATGAACAAACCTGGACTGGGGGTGTTGTTCAGTGCTTCCCTAGCATGAGCAAGGCCTTGGGTTTGATGCCCAGCATCACATACACACATGCCCCTCTCCTTTTTCCAATGCTGTATCCTATCTCATCAGACCTCTGACTGTAAACTGGATGTGGTGGTACACACCTCTAATCCCAGCACCTGGGAGGCTGAGGCAGGAGGATCTCCACAACTTTGTGGCTAGGCTGGACTACATAGTAAGACCCTCTCAAAACAAACAAACCCACCCAAAAGGAGGCAAAGCAAAAAAACTCCTCATAGTGGAACTCCTACTCATATCTCAAGCAATAGTATATTGGCATTAGAATTAGAATTTTTTTTTTTTTTTTTTTAGCTACTGAAGACTGAACCCAAGGCTTTTGCACTGAGATACATCCCCAGGCCTTATTTTGAGACAGAGTCTTGCAAATTTTCTAAGTTGCTCAGGTTGGACTCAAACTTGTGATTCTCTTGCCTCAGGCTTCCTAACAGCTGGGATTAGAGGTATGTAACACTGCACCCAATTTACTGTGTTAGCACTTAATGACAAGGAGGCACGGTATGGAATTCATCTTTTTTTGGTGATGGTAGTGGTCATTACACCTAGTGTTTTGCACACGATAGGCAAGTGAGCTACAATCTCAGCCCCTTTTATTTATTTATGGTACTGGGGATTGAACTCGGGACCTTGTGCTTGCAAGGCAGGCAGCGGAACAACTGAGCTAAATCCCCGGCCCCCTTTTTATTTATTTTTTTTTGTTGTTTTGGTACCAGGGATCAAACTTGGGACCTTGCACTTGCAAGGCAGGTGGTGGAACCACTGCCCTTTTTATTTTTGATATAAGACAGGGTCTCACTTTTTAGTCTAGGGTGGCCTTGAACTCATGGAAATCCTCTTGCCTAAGCCTCTTGAATAGCTGGTATTGTATGTGTGTACCACTGTGCCCCTGGATCTGAAATTTATTTATGTATAATTCATGTTTTGGCAATAGTACCTTACATAAAACATGTTTAATAAACATTATTTGTTGAATTAAAGAACCTCACTTTTTTTTTTACATGGTAGCAAGTTTTGTTAAAGGTAGGAAAAGAAACAGGCTCTGCAGAGCGAGTTTGGGCCAAATAAAAGTAGGAAAAGAGGTACACCCTACAGCATGTGGGTGGGCCACCATGCAAGAGAGAACATGGTGGTAAGGAACCTCAGTTTTTGAAAACGGTAAGGACAGTCTATGGCTATCCCACCCCGAATGCACCTGATCTTGACTGAAAACAGTAAGGACAGTAAGATAAATTAGTAAATCATTTTGGGAGGCAAAGACTATAGCTCAAAATTGTCCCTTTGTTGGATGCTTTAAACTACTCATATTTATTTATTGGTAATGGGGATTGAACTCAGGTCCTTGTGCTTTTGAGGCAGGCAGCAGAACCACTGAGCTAAATCCCCGACCCTAAACTACTCATATTTAGACCTAACTAGATAAAAAGGAAAAGTAGAGTCTTACCGCTGTTCTTGAGAAGTTCTCCTTTTCGGGATTTATCCAAGTTTTCAAGAAACTGTTCGAATACTTTCACATAAGGTGCTAGACTGGTCTTCTTATAATCTAAATTATGAAGCATGTATGCTATTATTAGCATGTTAGCGGCAAAAATAACATAAGAATATAACTTTTAAGTTTCTTGCAAGAATTTTTTTTTGGGAGACAGGGTCTCACTGTGTAGTTCAGACTGGCCTTGAACTCCCAGATATCCTCCTGCCTCAGCCTCCTGAGTGCTGGGATTATAGGCATGCACTACCATCCCTGGCTCTTGTAAGAATTTCCTAGAGTTGAGGTGCAGCTTACTAGCTCAGTGGTATAGTGCTTGCCTGGCATGAGCGAAGACCTAAATTTGATCCCCTTACACACAAAACCAATTTTACAATGTAATTAAAAAATTCTCTAGATAGAAATATTCTTTCATACAATCTTTTAAATCTAGTGTTTTTTATACTTAAAGTATATCTCAATGTAGATGCCAAAGTATAATCAGATATATGTGGTCTACATAATGAGGGGCTAGGGATTTAGCTCAGTGGTTCTGCTATCTGCCTCACAAGCACAGGAACCCAAGTTTGATCCCCGATACAAAAAAAAAAAAAAAGTAGTTGAAAAATTAGGCTCACATTCCTAAGATTTTCAAATATACTTAAAGTTTTCTAATAATTGAATCAAGTACAGTATCAGTTTTAAAATTTAAATTAATTTAAACTGAAAACGGTGTGGTGGTGCATGCCTATAATCCTAGCACTCAGGAGGTTGAGACAGGAGGATCACTGCAAATTCAAGGCCAGCCTGGGCTATTAATATATAGTGAGTTGAAGGCCAGTCTGAACTACAGGGTGAGACCCTGTCTTAAAGCAACAGACTGGAAAAAAAAATTTGATTGTTATATTGGCCACATTCAAGTGCTTAATAGAGACACATGGCTACTACCAGACAGTGCTGCTCTAAAATACCTAAAATCACATATGTATTATCTATTCTGGTAGTCAGGCTTTCTAGTATTAGGGTTAGGGTTATTGCTTTAAGTCTCATTCTATATTTCTTTCTTTAAAATTTTGGCTTCAGGAATAGTTTTACTAACAGAGAAAAACTTCCAAAATGTAGTTAGGCTATTCCTTCTGAAGATGATAAGTTATAGTCATGTCACGTTAGGTATTCCTTGATTTATGTAAGTCCCCCTCCTACCCCCTATATGGGGGATCGAACTCAGGACCTCACACTCCCCAGGCAGGTGCATGGCACTGAGCTACATCCCTGGCCCAATTTATGTAAGTCTTAAAAATGTATACAACAAAAGTCTGAATATGGAATCTTATCCATTTAATCACACAAAGGGTAAGTTTCGATGACAACAAAAAAGGGGTTTAACATGAAATGTAGATTTTAATAGTGTGCTAGGTCTGTGTGGAATTGAGTCCTAATAATAGTTCATTAAAAAAGTAAAAAAAAAACTGAGGGTGTAGTTCAGTGGCAGAGCAGGTGCTTATCATGTTTGAGGTCCGGGGTTTTATCCATAGCACTACAAATACAAAAAGAGAGGGCCAGGGATTTAGCTCAGTGGTTCTGGCACCTGCCTCGAAAGTGCAAGGTCCTGAGTTCGATCCCCAGTATCCAAAAAAAAAAAAAAAAATCCAAAAAGAGAAACTATACTCTTTTTGGGGTTGGTGGTTTGAGACAGTCTCATTAGTAGTTCAGGCTGGCCTTGAACTCACAGTGATCCTGCTGCCTCAGCCTCCTGAATGTTGGGATTACAGGCCTGCACCACCACAGCCATCTGAGAAACTGTATATTATCTGATTTACTTGGGACTGGGAAAAAGTTATTTAAGGATACTACTATCTGAGCTATGCCTCGCCCCTGCCCACCAAATACTAGGAATTGAACCTAGGATTGAACCACTGAGGTACACCCTAGCCCTTAAAAAAATTTTTTTTATTTTGAGACAAGGTCTTTCTAGATTACCTAAGCTGCCCTTGAACTTGCTACTTTCCTGCCTTTGCCTTCTGAGCAGTAATTTTAGAACTTCTTAAGACCAAATACTATGGCTTATACTTTAAAAAATTTTGTATATTACTTAATATGTAAATGTAGTCAGGAAATATTTAATTTTTCAATGTTTAACATGTATTCCAAATAGTGAAACAAATATATGGAACTTTGTCTAAGGAGATTAAAAAAATTTTTTTTTGGTTTTTTGAGACAGAGTCTTGGTATGTAGTTCAGACTGCCCTTGAACTTACTATGTAGCCCAGCTATCCTTGAACTCGTGGCAGTGCTCCTGCTTGTTTCCTGAGTGCTGGGATTATAGGTATGCATCGCCATACTCAGCTAAAATGTTGAATTAAGGTTCATACAGTACAGGGCCTATTCTAAGGCGGCACCTTCAGGATAAGATGGAGTTGCTGTTGGTCTTGAGGTGCAGGTCAGCAGTCACAGCAGCCTCCACAGGTATCTATAAGTTTTCTTCAGGGCAAATGATCTGAGGTTTGGTACACTAGTAGGGGAAGACAAATATGGAAACAAATATTTGCCTAGTATGTGTGAGACCCTGGGTTTAATTGCCAGTACCACAAAAAAGAAAAAAGTTTGTAAATTAATTGGAAAAAAGCGCCCTATATATAGTCATAGAAAATAACATGATTGGGGCCAAGGATTTAACTTAGTGGCACTGTGCCTGCCTCCCAAGCGCAAGGTCCTGAGTTTGATCCCTGGTACCAAAAAACAAAACAAAAAAACAACAAAAAAAAACCAGAACATGATTAGGGCTGAGGATGTAGCTCAGTGGCTGCCTGGCAAGCACAAGGTCCTGAGTTCAAACCTTGGCAACGCCCCCCTCAAACCCCCACATGATTAAAAGAAAAACAACCATATGGATAATTACAGGAGTCCCAAGAATTGACCAATCGATACTGCCCAAGGTGGATATGAACTCAAAAGATAACAGTGAGAGTAGATAGAATATTCCAGAATTTGTGAAGCAGAAAGGAAGGAGCAAATCAAATTAATGTGAAAAAGAGCAAAACTTTTAAAATCATGTGGTGGCACAAGTTTATAATCTTAGCACTCAGGAACCTAATGAGGGAAGACGATTGTGAGTATGCATCCTGGGCTACATAGCAAGTTTAAAGCCAGCCTGGACTACAGTGTGAGACTCTGCTACAAACAACAAACAAACAAACAGATAGTAAAAAACTATCACTAGTTTGTTATCAGTGATAACTTATCACTGATTCCAAACTTCTACAACTGCTAATACATTTGAGTCTAATGGCTATTAGGGCATTTGTGAAGAGATCTAATGATACTCATTTCAATTTATTTTTGCAATTATAGAAAAATTTCTCCTAATAAGGAGTCAAACTTGTTTTCCTTTCCTTTTCTTTTTGTTGTGTTGGGGACTGAACCTAGGGAACTTTGTGCATACTAGGGAAGAGATTACAACTGAACTGCACTCCCAGCCCTCAAAATTTGCTTTCTGAAAAACTATGTATAAGCCAGGTGTGGTGGTGCATACCCATAAACATAGCACTCAGAAGGCTGTGGCAGGAGGATCACAACTTGGAGGCTAGCCTAGGCAACACAGAGAGATCAAGGCCCACGTGGACTATATAAGACTCTGTCTCAGAAAACCAAAAACCAAGCAAAGCAAAGCAAACCAAAAGACCCTAAGTCTGAATTAACAAATATTTTGAACAACAAATATGGGGCTGGGGTAACTCAGTGGTAGAATCCATGAGACCCTCGGTTTGCTTTTCTCACGGTAGATCACCCTGAGTCCTCCAGGGTGTACTTTTATCTTGCTTTTTCCTCTTTTACTTAGCCCAAGCTTGCTGTACAGAGCTACTTTCTCCCTCACTTTTCACTTTTACTTTTAAAAATAAACTTTGTCACTAATAAAAAAAATTCAGAGATGATATTCAATTAAAAAACTATGGTAAAAGTAATATATGTACATTGTTTAAAAGAATAAAATAGTACTTAATGGGTTTATTATAGGAAAATTAGCAACCTTCTGCCCTGATAATTCTGACCTCTCTGTCCTCTTGAATGACAATGATTTTTAGCAAATATGCACCTCCACTGTTATTTACCAATATGAGGCCATTCTTCTACCTGTAGGGTTGTTTTCGTTTTGTTGGGTGTGGTAGTGATGGTTGCTGTGCACTCAGGACCTTTTCTCAGTTTTCTAAACTTTCAATTATTTATTTATTTATTTTGGTACCAGGGATCAAACTCAGGTCCTTGCACTTGCGCAGCAGGCAGAGAAACCACTGAGCTAAATCCCCGGCCCCAATTTTTATTTTTTTGAGACAGGGTCTCACTATGTAGTTCAGGCTAGCTTCAAACTCAGAATGATCCACTTACCTGAGCCTCCCCAGTGCTAGCATTATAGGCAAAAGTCACCACACCTGGCTCTGAACTTTTAAAAAATGATGTGCCTTGGTGTAGGCCTGTTTTCTTTTGATTGTGATGAGTGCTTTCATTTCTGGAATGTTTTCATATGTAATTGTGACAATTTTTTCCAAGACAGAGTCTCACTGTGTAGTCCAGGCTGGCCTTATGGCCAGCCTCCTGAGTAACTGGGATTACAGGTGTATACATCATACTCAGCTTTTCTTCTTATTTGTTCTGTTTCTGAAACTCCCATAGGCAGTTTTAGTTTTCCTAAATCAATTCTCTAATTTTTAAAAATCTTTTTCTTTCTTAAAACCACTATCATGTCGTCTGTTTTATACTACTTTCTGGAACTCTCAACTTTTCTCTTTCAACTCTTCTATTGATGTTTTTTACTCTAATGATTGTTTTTTACTCTAATGATTGCTCTTGTTCAAGAGCTCTTTCTTTTTTTTTTCGTACTGGGGATCGAACTCAGGACCTTGCGATTGTGAGGTAAGCGCCAGTATCACTGAGCTAAATCCCCGGTCCCCGAGAGCTCTTTCTTACTCTATTCCTTTGTTGTAGCATTTTGATCTTGCTTCATGGATAAACTATCTTAACATTCTTTGAGGATATTAATATTTTTTGTTTTATTCCTTTACTCCTTACAGTGTTTTTTCCTGAGTTCCTTTTTCCAGTTTGTCTTTCATATTGGAGAGTTTATAAAAAAATATTTTAGAGAGAATACTTGTAATGACTCCACAAATATTAATAGTGGATATACCATGTGTTGATGTTGTTAGTGCTGGAGTATTTGGAGCTTGAATTTTGAAAGGAGAGTATCAACATTTGATCAAAAAAGGTCAAAGAGACCACATATCTGTACTGTCCAATATAAAAATCACTAGCAGCTGGTGACTCATTTGGGAGCCTAAGGCAAGAGGATCACAAGTCTGAGTCCTGCCTGGGAAACTTAAGTTGCAAAACCCTGTCTCAAAGTAAAAAAATTAAAAAACCAGGCTGGGATGTAGCTCAGTGCAAAGGCTCTGGGTTCAATTCCCAGTACTAGGGTGGGAGTGGGGTCCCTGGCTATTTAAAACAATTAAATGAAATAAAAAATTGAGCTTCTCAGTCACACTAGTCATATCTTAAGTACTGAAAAGTCATATGTGGCTAGTGACTTCCATATTGAGCAGTGAAAATATATTAATATTTCCATCATCATGGGAAGTACCATTGAATTCTTTTGCTAGAGTGCATGTTTTGGATGCCAGGATAGAAGATCATTAGTGGAAGGTTTAGAAATTCCTCACTTCCTTTGATTATGCAATTATGCAATTTTAGACTGACCTTGAACTTGATATGTAGCCCAGGCTCGATTTGAACCCCTGGCAGTCCCTTACCTCAGCCTCCCGACTGGCAGGATTACAGGCATGTGCCACAGGGCTCCTCCATTCCTTAGAATCCTTTTTTTTTGTTTATTTGGTACAGAATCTCATTATACAGTCCAGGGTGGACTTGGATTTGTGATCCTCCTGCCTCAGATTCCCAAGTGCTGGGACTGCATTAGCACTGATTATAGGCATGCACCACCATGCCTCGCCCATTGATTCTGTGTGTGTGTGTGTGAAGCAGGGTCTCCCTATGTAGTTCAGGCTGGCCTTGAACTCACTATGTAACCAAGGCCGCCCTTGAACTCATGGCCATCTTCCTGCCTCAGCCTCCCAAGTGCTGGGATTACCATGTTTGGCCCAGTCGATTTTAGTATTAAATAAATTTGATAAAATTGTAATTTTTATATTGCTTATTATCTTATGAAAACTAACAAAAAATGCAATTTTTGGTCATCCTATATTTAAATAATTGAACTGGTAAGTGGTTAAAAAGTTTGTGTTAAAAGTGAAGCTTCAGGCTAGGTATGGTAGTGCATGCCTATAATCCCAGCACTGGCAAGGCTGAGGCAGGAGGATCACTGAGAGTTCAAGGCCATCCTGAACTACATAGGGAGACATTGTCTCAAAAAACAAGCAAGCAACAAGCAATCAATCAAGCAAACAAACAAGTGAAGCCTCAATACATTAAACTACCTCTGGTTCTGTGTTTGATATCAGCTTCAGCTTCATTCTCCTCTTTTTTGTTCTCATTAGTGGAAATGACATCCAATTCACAGCAAATGGAGCTACAAATAACAGAGTAAGAGAATTTTCAAGTTGGTTTTTGGTCAGCATTACTCAGTAAATGCCAGCATATGAATCCCATTAAGATTTTCTGTGAAAAAATTATGTGGCTCAGCTCAACATAAAGCTCAGTGATATGAGACCACTTGCCTAGTGTGCTAAGGCCCTAGGTTCAATCCCCAGGCTACAAAGAAAAAGTGGCCATTTTGGGGTCTTTGAAAGACTTAGTGTAGTTTTTCATGCATGTTATTAAAGCTTGTGAAATATTTTTTTTTTCTGGTGCCAGGAATCAAACTCAGGATCTTGTGCTTACTAGGCAGGTGTGGCGCCATTAAGCTATATCCCTGGCCCATTTTGAAATCTTACAGTAAACTTTTTTTTTGCAGTTCTTGAATTGAACCCAGGGCTTTGCATATTCTAGGCAAGTACTCTACGATGGACAGATCTAAATAGATCAGCCCTAAAGAGATTTTTAATATACTTAAGTTGCCATTTCCCAGACTTATTATTTTTGGGGCTGGGCACTGAACCCAGTGTCCTTACCACTGTGTTATACCCTCAGCCCTCCCAGACTTATTTGATCTTAAAATCTTTTGTAAAATAGCTGAGTTTTAAACTTGTATTATTTATTATGGCATCATAATCTAATCTTAGAATCAAGTATCCACATAACCAAATAACCATTCCTGTGTAGCTATCTTTCTTAAAAGGGATCCAATATAATCTGTTTCAAATTCACATTCACAAAGCGTTATCAATGATCTGGAGCATACCTTATTGTTGGAACAGTAAAGGGATCAAATTGATCCACTTTCTGTAAATCAATAGGCACAGAAATGCGACCTGTAAGAACCAGAAGTTATAAACTGATGATTGTGGAACACTGATTACTATAGGCTGTCTTCTATGAGTTATTTTTGGTTAAAATTTTACAGAGGGTTAGATTTATCTGTTAATAAGAATATTTAGAAATATAAATTACTTTCACATTGGATGTACCTGTTATTTATCTTAAACAAAAAACTGATGTGAAGAATGTTGAGCTATTTCCCTGTTGCTTTTACTTTTATTTCCATTTAGAAACAAGTTATATTTTAAAATTCCAGGGTGGGTGTGGTGGCACATGCCTGTAACCCCAGCATTTGGGAGGCTGACACAGGAGGACAGCCAAGAATTCAAGGCTAGTATGGACTACAGAGTGAATTCAAGGCCAGCCTGAACTACATAGTAAGACACTGTCACAAAAAACCAACCAGCCAAATTGTATACATACATACATACAAATGATTCCTCCACTTGCTTCACAGCATGGCTCGGAGAACTAAGTGAGATAATATTTTCAAAAATACATATTAAACTACGTGGTGGATTAAATAAAAAACAACCCAAAAAACCAAGAGTGAAAACACAACCTACTGAATGGGAAAAACTTTTTGCCAGTGATTACTCAGAGGACACATTTAGAATATATAAAAAATTCAAACAATTTAGAACCCTTCAAATAAAAGACTCAGTCAAAAAATGGGCAAGTGAAATGAACAGATGCTTCACATGAATAGCAAAATGGCCAATAAATACATAAAGAAATGTTCAACAAATGGAATTAATATAAGAAAATGAAAAAATGGAAACAAAGTCTTTGTAAATAGGGAGAGATGGAGGGTTTGAAGGGAGGGCAGGGGAATAGGGGAAAAATAAGAACTAAGAGACATTATGTAAAGGTGCAAATTTCCAAAGATGAATGTCATTATACTATA